CTTGTTTCTAGAGCTGTTACCATTTTGGTTGCCCTTCTCTAGAACACGTTCCAGCTTATCATAGAATCATAGAGTTGGAAGAGACCTCGTGGGCCATCCAGTCCAACCCCCTGCCAAGAAGCAGGAAAATTGTATTCAAAGCTCCCCCGACAGATGGCCACCCAGCCTCTGTTTAAAAGCCTCCAAAGAAGGAGCCTCCACCACACTCCGGGGCAGAGAGTTCCACTGCTGAACAGCTTGCACAGTCATGAAGTTCTTTCTAAAGTTCAGATGGAATCCCCTTTCTTGTAGTTTGAAGCCATTGCTCCATGTCCTAGTCTCCAGGGCAGCAGAAAACAAGCTTGCTCCCTCCTCCCTATGACTTCCCCTCACATACTTATGGCTATCATGTCTCCTCTCAGCCTTCTCTCTTTCAGGCTAAACATGCCCGGCTTATCAATGTCTTTCTTGAATTGTTGTGCCCAAAACCAGACACAGTATTCCAGGTGAGGTCTGGCCGGTGCAGAATAGAGTAGTACTATTACTTCTGTCAATCTCAAACTACGGCCCGGGGGTCGAATACGGCCCTCCAAGGTTATTTACCTGGCCCTCGCTCAGGGTCAACCTAAGTCTGAAATGACTTGAAAGCACACACAACAACAACAACAATCCTATCTCATCAGCCAAAAGGAGGCCCACACTTCCCATTGAAATACTAATAAGTTTATATTTGTTAAAATTGTTCTTCGTTTTAATTATTGTATTGTTTTTAAGTGTTTTTGCACTACAAATAAAATAAGTGCAGTGTGCATAAGAATTCAGTCATGGTTTTTTTTTTCAAATTATAATCCGGCCCTCCAACAGTTTGAGGGACAGTGACCTGGCCCTCTGTTTAAAAAGTTTGAGGACCGCTGATCTAGACAATATATTTCTATCTCTCTAATCTGTTTAAATAATTTGGGATTCCGATCCTGTTTTCTTGGGCATTTGTTATTCGTCATCTCCAAATTTGATAAGCATGCCAATCTATTCCATCATATAAATTTCATCATCCAGAATTAATTTCTGAGCCGGTGTAAACAGCAAAACAAAGAGAGGAAGCGAGGTGGCGGCAGATAGTTCTGCCTCACCAACTGCTGCAACACATTGAAAAAATGAAGATCTATATGTTTGGCCAACTAAATGAAAATCATAAGAAGTGTAGAGGCTAGTGGAAGAAAAATTCATTCTTTGGTGCATGTGGGATAAGCTTTCAAGTGGTTTCTAGAAGGTTGAAATGTGCTTATCTGCTTGGAGCACTTTACCTGGTTGTTTTATTTCTGCATATGGTTAGTTTTGAATTTAAAATGCAATGAAATCTTGTTCTGATCTCCTTTTTTATGCACCAGGAACCTATTCCCATTCTTTCCATTTTAGTTTTGTCTCTTGTGCCAATTTTTCTGTTAAAGAAATAAAGTTCCAGAATAGGGGATACCTGGCGCAATAGCAGTATGTGTGAAAAAGATCTCGGAGTCCTCGTGGACAACTAGTTAAACATGAGCCAAGAATGTTATGTGGCAGCTTTAAAAGCCAGTGGGATTTTGATCTGCATCAATAGGAGTCTAGATCCAGGGAAGTCATGTTACCCCTCTATTCTGCCAACAGAATAGGGGACACCTGGCATGACAGCAGTACATGTGAAAAAGATCTCGGAGTCCTCGTAAACAACTAGTTAAACATGCACCAAGAATGTTATGTGGCAGCTTAAAAAGCCAATGGGATTTTGGCCTGCATCAGTAGGTGTCTAGATCCAGGGAAGTCATGCTACCCCTCTATTCTGCCTTCATCTGACCACACCTGGAATACTGTATCCAATTCTGGGCATCACAGTTGAAGGGAGATGTTGACAAGCTGGAATGTGTCCAGAGGAGGGCAACTAAAATTATCAAGGATCTGGAGAACAAGCCCTATGAGGAGCAGCTTAAAGAGCTGGGCATGTTTAGCCTGAAAAAGAGAAGGCTGAGAGGAGATATGAGGGCCATGTATAAACATGTGAGGGGAAGTCATAGGGAGGAAGGAGCAAGCTTGTTTTCTGCTGCCCTGGAGACTAGGACGCAGAACAATGGCTTCAAACTACAGGAAAGGAGGTTCCACCTGAACTTCATGACTGTGAGAGCAGTTCAACAGTGGAACTCTCTGCCCCAGAGTGTGGTGGAGGCTCCTTCTTTGGAGGCTTTCAATCAGAGGCTAGATGGCCATCTGTCCAGGGAGCTTTGTATGTGATTTTCCTGCTTCTTGGCAGGGGGTTTACTAGATTGCCCACGAGGTCTCTTTCAATTCTATGATTCTGTGATGAAGTTTGTCAGACTTTTAGCAAAAATTCTCTTGCCGACTACTATGAAGTGCAACATATCACTTGTCAGAAATCTGTCTTCATGAAATTGCAGGGCACATTCCAGTGCGCCAAACTTTTTTGGACAGCACATCTGCAGAATCGGTTCATCTCCAGTATTTTTCTTTCCCATCCTGGATTGAGTCATTCAACTGGAAGGAAAGGCAAAATGACAGCCTATTCATCAAAGCCCTTCAGCTTCCTACCCAGACAGTACTAACTCTTTGTTCTTTTCTGAAGGCCATTTATTTATTTTTTACTTGCTTACATACTTTTACCTGACCTTTCTAAAAGCAGATACTCAAGGCAGCCAGAAATAAAATGTGGCTATGTCTCGTAGTTATTAGTTCCCATGCGGACCAAAAGGAAGGAGTAAAAATCAATAGGCTTGGCAAGTCAGCATCTTTGTTACATCACAGTTTTTTCCCTCCGAGATAATACATTTCTGAGATATTCTGTCAGGCCTGCAAACTGCTTTTGTTTTTTTCTATAAGGATTCCCTTACCATCCACTGCACATCTCCTCTGAGTGTTGGCAGCAGGGGATCTGCAGTTGCGTGGAGCTGAAAATTGAAAAGCTGTATTTGAAAATTTCAGCTCATCGTTGAAAACATTTGTCAAGATGCCTCCCTTTTGCTTTGAGAAATAAACTGAAAGCTTGTAGAATTTTCAAGTGATACTTTCATGATAGTTAATTCTTGTTAAAAAATTATTTATTTCAAATATTTGTACCTTGCCCTTCTCTACCCCTAAAGGGTCTAAGTTAAACCGCTGAGCAGCTGAACTTGCTGACCAAAAGGTTCACAATTCAGATCCGGGGAGTGGGGTGAGCTCCCACCGTTAGCCCCAGTTTCCTATAACCTAGCAGTTCGAAAACATGGAAATGTGAGTAGATCAATAGGTACTGCTTTTGTGGAAAAATAACGGGACTCCATGCAGTCATGCCAGCCACATAACCTTGGAGGTGTCTACGAACAACGCCGGCACTTCAGCTTAGAAATGGAGATGAACACCAACCCCCAGAGTCGGACACAAATAGACTTTATGTCATAGAAAACCCTTACCTTTACTTTTAATGTTCTTTTCGAATAGAATTGTTGAAATACTAATTCATGTTGTATATGTTGCAGTAATTTTAATATAGAATTTACCCTGTTACAATAGCAAACTTTTAGTTAGTAGTATTTTATTAATTTGTGTTTCCTCCATCCAAATAAAGGCATGGAGAATGTCTTTAACTTTGTATCTCCCTCTATGTTCTGCCTCCTAGTCTAAGATCTGCCGGAGAGGCCCTGCTCTCGTTCCCACCAGCTTCACAAACGCGTCTGGTGGGGACAAGGGACAGGGCCTTCTCGGTGGTGACACCCTGCCTGTGGAATTCACTCCCCAGCGAAATTAGATCAGCATCCTCCCTCCTTTCTTTCAGAAGAAAACTGAAGACATGGTTGTGGAACCAGGCTTTTGGCTAATGGAGATAACGGCACCTGAACAGTGAATTGGACCAGATGGTTGTTATAATGGAAAATGCCTTTATGATTGGATAGCTAATGTTGTTTTAATGTATTGTATTGTATTGTATGATCTTACAAAGTTCCAAAAAAAAAACACCAGTCTTCCATCAGACAGCGGGCAATGAACTAAGTCCTTAGCAGCAGACACAAAGCAGATTCCATTGAAATGAAAACATCAGTATCAGGGTCGTTCTTACCAGCAAAAGCTGACTGTTTCTGCTTCTGATTTATAGCCCTGAATTCCGCACGCAGGAAGTACTAGGGCGTCTTCCAATTAGCTCAGCGTTTTTAGCAGCTATCCTAGCTGAATACCATCTGTGCTCTGGCTCTTTTCTATGGACAACACTTTCAAACCCTCATCGTCTGATTCTTCTTCTCCCTCCAATTCCTAAGCACTTCCCTGCTCCCCTTCCTCTTCGGGGGATGAGGAATCCCTAACACTAATCTAGAACGTTAGCAGCCTGCCGTGAGAAATGTATATGACACTTTGCAGAAGCCAATCAGATGAGCTCCATTTTGGATGCTGTAGCTGATACAGTTCCAGTGGGTGTCTAAACACTAATTCTGACATTGCAAATTTCCATCTTGGCTCATATTTGAAATCACAGTGGATAAGGAAGTACATTTGTGTGTAGTGTGCAGAACTTACATTCAGCCTTACATTGAGGCTTATGCTTCATACATGCAGTGCCTGGATATGTGTGAGAGGAAGAAAAAAAATGAATATGTATGAATGAGTCAGTCTTCAAGTATTTCTTTCATCTATTTATCTGATGAAACGTCCAATCTCATTAAGCTCAGGGATTCAAAATGTGTAATTATAGATATGTCCCATATCGTGCCCTACAATAAGAGACTTTTGAAAGTGGCCTGAGGTTAGGATTTTTTTTTAATGGTGCATGTTGTAAGTTATTAATTTGTTGTATATGGTGTAAGCAAATTGGATTGTTTGCTTTAATTGGCTTATGATGTTCTAGTTGAATATGTATTTTATGTATTTATGTTTTTAAACCATTGTACGCTTCTTTGAATCCCACCCATGGGAGAAAGGGGGGATAAAAATGAAATAATAATAATAATAATAATAATAATAATAATAATAATAATAATTTACCACAACATGTGTTTTGCTCTCCACAGTATGAATTTAAAGCAAAAAGTATAAAGAAAAAGAAGGTTAATCTGATGGTGTCTGTTGATGGCGTAAAGGTGGTGCTGAAAAAAAAGAAGAAAAAGGTGGGTTCTTGGTTTTATAAACTTATACTGAAATAATATTTATATTACAGATTTATTCATAGCATGTTAATAAAGGCCCACAGCTGGAAATTTTTATTTATTTATTTTATTTCCAGTATTTATATACCGCTTTTCTCACCCCTATGGGGGACTCAGATGATCGGTTTCCATTTTTTACAAATCCATTACTATAAATCAATTACTGTAAAAGGTAGCAGACAAAAATGGGCTACGTGCTTTTCCTCCTGTGGCAATCTGCCTTGGTCTGGTTGCTGGGGGGTGTTTGTATAGAGATTTTGCACAAATAGGTGTAATTATCCAGATAGGCAATCTCAGTGATTTCATATCTTTCTGTGTGCAAGTTGGCCATAGTTTATTCTTTTCCTTGTATTTGTTTGTAACAATTTTATGTGTAACATATCACACACTTACAGTAACTCCAAATTATACTTGGAGACGCAAGCCCTGCTTATCTCCCTGTCCCACTTCACCAATTTTGTACCTGACTGCCCTGGAGTCAATCTCCATCTGAATAATGGACTATGAGTGTGCCTTATCATTGCCTCACCTTTTGGATGGCCTACTTCCAGAAATATTGCTTATGACTATCAAATCTATCCCCAAAGGAAAGGCTCAGTGGTAGAGCACACACTTTCCATTCCATTTCCTGGTTTCTCAAGGTAAGTGAAGAAATCTTTAAGAGCCACTATTGGTTAGTGGCAATGGTGGCACAGTGGGCTAAACCACTAAGCTATACAACTTGCTGACCATAAGATCAGTGGTTCAAATCCATGGGATGGGGTGAGCTCCTGCTGTTGGCCCCAGCTTCTGCCAGCCTAGCAGTTTGAAAACATGCAAATGTGAGTAGATCAATAGGTACAGCTTTTTGTGGGAAGGTAACGGCACTCCATGCAGTCATGCTGGCCACGCGACCTTGGAAGCATCAACGAACAATGCCGGATCTTCGGCTTGGAGATGAGCACCACCTCCCAGAATCCCACATGACTAGACTTAATGTCAAGGGGAAACCTTTACCTTTATTATCAGTTAGTATGATTTTGACTATATTGGATTAGATAGGCTATTGATAGGCTAAAGATGCCCCCCTCCCTCCCCGCTTTAAAAAAAACAGCTGAAGACATACCTTTGCACACTGGCATATGAGGAGGAGGAATAGTAGTTGGTAATACTACCATTATACCTATGATTAATAGTTGCCATCACCCCACCAGCTCAATAGATATCTTGAGCAATGATTAATCGATTTGCCCCAAAGAAATGGGAAATTATTATTTCCATTTGATGTTTTGTCTTATGTCTGTTGTAACAGGCTGTGCTTTTTATTTAATTTTAGTTTGTTAAGTTGTAATTCGTATTTATATGTTGGGTTGTATAAATTTTGTTAGTATGGATATATTGTTGTTGTATTCGGGCATTGAATGTTTGCCTTTTATGTTTGGAATCCGCTCTGAGTCCCTTTGGGGAGATAGAGCGGAATATAAATTTATTATTATTATTATTATTATTATTATTATTATTATTATTATTATTATTATTATTATTATTATTATTATTGGCCTGACTCTGTTTAAAGCAGCTTTGTATGTGACTTTGCCTTTCTCTCTGTATTTCCCTCTACTTGCTTTGGTTCCAAGTTGTGAGGCGGGTATAGAAAGAGCCTTTGAGCACTGAACTGGGGATTCAAAATTTGGAATATGTGATGGTCTACTTTGGGTACTTTGGACTATGTATGCTTCATAAAACTATTTTATCTAAACTCTGAGGTGCAGAGCAAATTTTAAACATGGAGACCCCCTCCCAATCATTGTTTTTCAAATTAATGTTTCATTTTAATTAGTAATCTTCCTCTTTAAGCAATACCATGCAGTTGGTATTGTTGTTGTGTTCCATGACTGCCAGCCCTAATTGCTATGTAATACAAATTTAATTGAGGAATTGCATCATGAATTTTTGGATCACTGCTTTGTCAAGATAGCCTGCACTTCCTCTTCTTCCTACTCCTGCTGATAGGAGGTTGCTTTAAGACAGGGGTCCTCAAACTAAGGCCCGGGGGCCAGATACGGCCCTCCAAGATCATTTATCCGGCCCTCACTCAGGGTCAACCTAACTCTGAAACAACTTGAAAGCACACAACAACAAGAACAATCCTATCTCATCAGTCAAAAGAAGGCCCATACTTCCCATTGAAATACTAATAAGTTTATATTTCTTAAAATTGTTCTTCATTTTAATTATTGTATTGTTTTTAAGTGTTTTTGCACTACAAATAAGATATGTGCAGTGTCTATAGGAATTCATTCATGTTTTTTTTGAAATTATAATCTGGTCCTCCAACAGTTTGAGGGACTGTGACCTGGCCCTCTGTTTAAAAAGTTTGAGGACCCCTGCTTTAAGGCAATGGTTCCCAACCTGTGGTCCATGGACTACCAGTCGTCCCCAAGAACTAAATACAGTCTGCGGCCTCACCGTACTACACTGTTGCAACAAGAGTGACTGGTTTTGCAAAACTTCTTAAGGTGCCGAGGCAATGGGGATGTCAGGAGGGGAGAGACTGACTACCCACGAAAGGAGTGTCAACAATTCTCCTGACTGCTGCTTCTCCTCATCCTCCCTCCCCTTGAATGGAGCCGTTCCATGTGGCAGCTGGAAACGGAGTCACCTTGTTGTCTTCATTTTTAGGCCTGTTCCTGGTGTTATTCAGGGTGCTGATTCAGAAAATTGCATTGTATAGACCACATCAGCTCTGAATTATTATGGTTTTCTGTGGGTGACCTGATGGCAACTACTGGATGGAATATGTTCTGTATCATAAAGTAGAGCTGATGTGGTCTATCCAATGTAATTTTCTGAATCAGCACCCCAAATAACCAAACCAAATCTAAAGTTGACTAAAAAGTGATTCATAACCCTTTTGATACTAATTTTGGAGAGTGGTCCCTCGTCAAAGTGGTCCCTGGTCAAATAAAGTTGGGAACCACTACTTTAAGGCAATTGGGAAAATGTAGTAGTGAGAGAATATGGATCTGAATGAGGGTTCCTCATGTCTCAAAGATTGTTACCATAGAAAACCTTCCTTGGTTGTTATTTTTCACCCTTGTTAATTGTTGTAACACTCTGTGAAGCATCTGTCCTGCTTATACGCAGATCTCTTTTGCAGAAGAAAGAGTGGGACCGGGATGAGAGCAAACTACTGATTATGCACGACCCAATCTACAGGTGAGCAGGACAAAGCTGGAAATAGAGGAAACAGAGTTAAGCATGATCTTGTTTTATACAATATGCATAATTGTGATGAACCAGAGAAGAGACTTTTGAAGAATGATTTAAATGGAGAGAAGATAGAAAAGGGAGACTTTCCAATCATATAGACATAGAAGCAACAGTTAATAGGATGATAATACATAAAGGCTAAAGACTTCAAGTCATCTGGAATCAGTCTGAAATGAGTCTAGATGGAGTTCTCAGCAGTGCCTTTTGATCCCATCATGACATTACTCTCATTGCAGAGCAAAAGGATGCTGAGACCTCGCTTCGACTTCATCCTCCATGAGAGATAATTCACCAGCCTATTTATGTGCTCCTTTCTAGCAGTCTTCCATTGCAATGTGAAAATTGCAGGCAAACTTTGAGGCCTTCAGCATCCAAACAGGGCAGGAAAAATAGAAGTCTTTGAGAAATGTTGTTCTAAAATTGAAATTATAATTGCAGCATCTGGGATACTATATTCTGTGTGCTCCAAGCAAACCATTAGTGACCAGGATGCATAGTTCACGAAACAGTAGAATCATAGTAGTTGATACTTTAAAAATATCATCGCCACTATTTGCAAATTTGGAAAAAAAATTGAGACCAAAAGAACCAAGTTCACACCTTGACACATATCAAATCGTAATTCAATCCACACCAAAGAAATTTTAGTTGCTCCTTGATTATTTATAGTTCCTGTTGAAGATGGGAGTATGATATTTAGATGTTGGTGTTATATTTCCTTTTGAGATTTCAGAAAAATCAGGAAAGAGGTTAGTTTCACTGGAGAAGGAAGACTACACTTCCATAAATGTGCTGGAACTCAACCACATCATGCACAAGTTATAGTCCTCAAGAAAATAGATAGGCAGATTATCTGACCCTCTTTCACTCTTTCTCCTACTGTCTCCTGTTTGATATTTCTCAGGGACACATCTCTTTTTATTCAAAGTTTCTAGCCACAAGGTAAGTCCCTGAGTCTTCCATTTTGCTCTTCTCCTGTGAACATAGAGACGAAATGTTTCCAGTGAGATAGATAGTTAGATAGCTAGATCCAAACTTTCCTGGATAGAACTGTGGTTTTTTTTCAATGAAAACTTTTGTAACTTTTAAAGCTCCTGTAATTGCTGAAGCTCATTCGCTCTGCTGTAATAATAATAATAAAATAATAATAATAATAATGTATTGTTGAAGGCTTTCATGGCCGGAATCACTGGGTTGTTGTAGGTTTTTTCGGGCTATATGGCCATGTTCTAGAGGCATTTCTCCTGACATTTCGCCTGCATCTATGGCAAGCATCCTCAGAGGTAGTGAGGTCACTACCTCTGAGGATGCTTGCCATAGATGCAGGCGAAACATCAGGAGACAATGCCTCTAGACCATGGCCATATAGCCCGAAAAAACAAACAATTAAATAATAATAATAATAATAATAATAATAATAATAATAATAAACTTCATTTATACCCCGCCACCATCTCTCCCAATGGGGATTCTGTGCGGCTTACATTAGGCCAAGCCCAAACAACAAATTACAATAAAATAAGATACAAATTTCAATAAAATAAACAACATAGCATTAAAATATAAAACATATAAGCTTATAAACAATATACACAAAACATAAAGAAAGGAAAAAAGCAATAAAACAAACATAATGACAGTGAACAGGCCGCATGTACAAAAAATGATTTAAAAACTCAGGATGAGATAAAGGAGCAGAATTGTTATGCTCCAGAAGCTTCTGATCTGCTAAAGCTGCTGCTGCTGTTGCTGCCTTTTCCTTTTTGAAATTATCCCAATTAATTTTCAACCCAATTAATTTTCAAAGAATATAATATAAAATGGTGGTACTATTCGATTATCCGGGCGGAGGCCACAATGGGGTGCTAGAGAGCGAAGGATCATCCATTTTATGGGGGTGAAATGTGGGTTGAAAGAGGAAAATCATTTCCACCTGTTTTTCTATTATTCCCCCCAGCCATGTCCCCATCATGGAAACAATTCTCGTTTCTGAAATGGGAAGTAGGGAGGGAGAATAACCAGCGAAAACGGGAGGGGGGATGGTTTCCTTCTTCAACTCCCCTCCATGTGAAATTAACTATCCTTCTCTTGCTAGCACCCCCTAGTGGCCTCCGCCCAGACAATGGAACAGTCCCAAAACAGCAAAACAGACTTTGGTTGAAGGGGAAGTGTGTAGTGTCCCCTAATCTTTTGTACAGTGTGGGAGATACAAGGGGAACTAAAATAACAGAAACATGGGGAAAGAGTAGATTTGCTAATCAGCATTCATGATTAACAATTCTACTCTTTCAAATAGTGCCCATGATGCTTGATGATGACGTTAATTGGTGGGCTTCTATGTATGCATTTATTTATAAATCTTCCCAAAGTCTGTGAGCTGTGCCATTCCCCCTGCAGAAATACAACCATGTTATAGTAGAGAATTTGCTGTGGTGAAGATCATGAATGTAGATCATTGTTTAGGGATAACTTGGGAATGCACTCCCATATGAACCCCATTCCTGTATGTTTATCACTGTTGTTTTGTGCCCTGCATGCAGAGCTTACAAAATCCCTTGGACGTTTCTGATTAGATCTTGGGTGGCAGCTCTTGGAGGTTATTGGTGTCCCTTGGTGCATGAAAGCGCCACATCTGGATAGAAAAATGGGATGGTTGTTCCTAAATGTGTCTGTAATGCTCTTTAAAGGGCAGTTTCATATGTCCTTTTCCCCACAAGCTGTTAAAAGCCCAGATTGGATTGCTTCCTGTTGAAGTGATGGAAGGCAGGAGAGCTAAAGCAGCTCCCTGGGTAACATAATTTAGCAGCATTGCCCCAAGCCTGCTAAATGTACATGGATTCAGTAAAAAATAGAGTCCTAGGGGAAGCCTGAGAGCCCCACGTTCGTCATCCCTGTCTTAAAGAGTGACAAAGAGTCGGTTTCCTACACATACATGTACACATACAGATGTGATGTTCCTGCAGGATATTTTATGTGTCCCACGATTCCCAGGACCTGAAGATCTTCAGCTACATTGCCAGGGATGGTTCCACCAATGTCTTCCACTGCAATGTCTTCAAGTCCAAGAAAAAGGTAAGCTGGAAACTGGCATGACTGAATAAGGTATAACCCTAAATAGTGCTCATGTCTCTATAGTGAACTGAATACCCACCTTGGGTTTTCATGCATTAAGCCGTGACGAACAGGGACTTGAAGTCCATCTAGATGACTAGCTTGCAGGGAACACATTTATTTCTCTCAGGTTGATATAGGCTACTGGCAATGAAAGGACAACAGGGAGAGTATCCATATGTACTAAAAGAGGAATAAAGTTTCCTGAGCACAGCAGTTTGTATTATTTGAAGTTTCCAAGGGCTTTCCAGAGGTTGGTGCAAGATATGTTTGAAGCATCCAGGGGTCAAGGGAAGGGGCCCGTCCTTCATCATCAAGAATAGAAGGGTCCCTGGCTATGGAAGAATCAAATCATTTATTTCGGTCATTGACCAGCACAGGAAATAGAGTCACATTTTTATACAAACTTGGTATGATTGGTACATTAAAAATATAAATATAACTACTGAAGAATCATAAAATCATAGAATCGTAGAGTTGGAAGAGACCTCATGGACCATCCAGTCCAACCCCCTGCCAAGAAACAGTAAAATTGCATTCAAAGCATCCTCGACAGATGGCCATTCAGCCTATGTTTAAAACCTTCCAAAGAAGGAGACTCCACCACACTTTGGGGCAGAGAGTTCCACGGCTGAACAGCTCTCACAGTCAGGAAGTTCTTCCTAATGTTCAGATGGAATCTCCTTTCTTGTAGTTTGAAGCCATTGTTCTGCATCCTAGTCTCCAGAGCAGCAGAAAACAAGCTTGCTCCCTCCTCCCTGTGACTTCCTCTCACGTATTTATACATGGCTATCGTATCTCCTCTCAGCCTTCTCTTCTTCAGGCTAAACATGCCCAGCTCTTTGAGCCGCTCTTCATAGGGCTTGTTCTCCAGACCCTTAATCATTTTAGTTGCCCTCCTCTGGACACATTCCAGCTTGTCAATATCTCTCTTCAACTGTGGTGCCCAGAATTGGACAGAATATTCCAGGTGTGGTCTAACCGAGGCAGAATAGAGGGGTAGCATGACTTCCCTGGATCTATACTCCTATTGTTGCAGGCCAAAATCTCATTGGCTTTCTTGCCCGTGCATCACATTGTTGGCTCATGTTTAACTTGTTGTCCACAAGGACTCCAAGATCTTTTTCACACGTACCGCTCTTGAACCAGGCGTCCCCATTTTTCCTGAAAGAATGCCCTTTTCCCAGGCTACTTGCACTCTTTCCCTTTGAGATAAACAAAAAATCCCTGATAAATGCAGACACCCTATACCTTTCTTTTCCTACCTCCCAGGCTAAGATTCGACAATCAAATCAACTCCAATTATTAAACTATTATGTTATTAAAAGACCAAGCAGAAATAAGTTCAGAAACAGCAATTTACTCTTAAAATAAAACCAATAAAACCTAAACAAATACATTTAATTAAACTTTCTGTACCTAACAGTAACTCAGAAAAGTGGCTTTGAGACTGAGTATTCTTTAAATATAGCTGTGTGGCCTCTTGGCTGTCTAGACTAAGAAGAAAAAAATCCAGACCTTTTATGCAGGGATGCATCTGCTTGAGAGGGGAATTGAATCATCCAGGGAATTTCTCCAGGTCTGAGTCAGCCTGCAACACACACAGAAATGTGCACATTTGACCTGCTTGGCTCTTTGATATGCATCCAGAAAACAGGAAATAGGAAGGTTGGATTTGTTGCAAATGCCATTTAGATGACATTGCTTGTATCTGGCCAGACAATCAAAGGACTTCTTCCACACATCAACCTTGTCCTACTTGCTCTGATTTTAGAGTGTCAGAAGCCTGCCGCATATTGTGGTATCTATAATAGCCAAGGTAAGGAATTGCATTTGTAGGGATTTTCTTAGTGGGTCTGTAGATTGTTTGAAGGATGTGTTTCTTCATCAGCTTTCCTGTGCAGTCAGTGGTTCCCTTTTCCTCTGGGTGGACATTTGTCTTTTCTCTCATGGCTTGTTCTTGGTCTTGCAACTCTTCTGATGTCTGTCGTAGAATATCCATTAGCCTGTAGAGCCCGGTTTAGGTGGTTCAGTTCACCTTAGAGGAGGTAGGCTTCACAGATCCTGTTTGCACGGTCTACCAGAGCTCTAAAGCTGATGAAGAAACATAATCTAAAATTTTATTTATTTATTTATTTATTTAGATCTTTTATATACCGGTCTTCTCAACCTCCGCAGAGGGACTCAGTCCAGTTCACAACAAAAGATTCATAAACAATAGTTTAAAACATCACATCCCACAATTCACTAAAACATTAAAATACATATAATTACATAATGCCAAGTCGTCAAAATGAAGTCACAATTCATCGCCATCCGTCCGTGTGGTCAGGAGTTATTGATTCACTCATCAAATGCTAAATTCCAGAGCGAGGTTTTCACCAGTTTTCGAAACGTCAGGAGAGAAGGGGCAGATCTAATCTCCAGTGGGAGAGAGTTCCAGAGCCGAGGGGCCACCACCGAGAAGGCCCTGTCTCTCGTCCCCACCAGACGCGATTGCGAGGGTGGTGGGACCGAGAGCAGGGCCCCTCCAGAAGATCTTAACAACCTTGATGGTTCATAGGGGAGAATCCGTTCGGACAGGTAAACTGGGCCGGAGTCGTTTAGGGATTTATAGGTCAACACCAGCACTTTGAATTGTGCTCGGAAGCTAATTGGCAGCCAGTGGAGCTGGCGCAACAGAGGAGTAGTATGCTCCCTGTACCCCGCTCCTGTTAGTAATCTGGCTGCCGCTCGTTGGACTAATTGCAGCTTCCGGGCAGTCTTCAGAGGCAACCCCACGTAGAGAGCATTGCAGTAGTCTATACGGGATGTAACCATACATACTCACATACCCACTAAGAAAATTCAACAAATGCAATGTTCATCAAAGGATAAGAGGGATCCTTTAACCACTACAGAAGTCTACCGTATACCATGCAACTGTGGATAAGTCTGCATAGGGACCACCAAACGCAGCACCCAGATATGAATCAATAAACACAAAAGACACTGCAGACTCAGTCAACCAGAGAAGTTAGCTATAAAAGATCACTTGATGATCAAGCCTGGACACAGAAACACAGAAACTCTAGACCACTCTGACAACCATTATGTCAGACTACACAGAGAAGCCATTCGAATCCACAAGCACATAAACAATTTCAACAGAAAGGGAAAAAAACCATGAAAATGAACAAAATCTGGTTACCAGTATTAAAAACCACCAGAATCAAGACCACTTGATAATGAACACCACTCAGAAACAGAAGAACTCCAGACAGTAAGCAATCAAGGGCCAGTTAACACCTCCCAAACAGAGGATGCCTCCAGGCAACAAAGGCCAGACTACCTCTGTGCAGGTACCCTCACTGATTGACTTTACAAACTTCATGGCTATTCAAATTCTAATCCAAGCTTGCTAATTGCAACAATCACACTTGCTTTAACCAGGCACATGTCCTTTTTCCTACGCTTGACATACCAAAGGTATATATACACTCCACTGAAGATGCCAGCCACAGATGCAGGTGAAACAATAGGAGAGACTGCTGCTGGAACATGGCTATACAGCCTGAAAAACTCACAGCAAACCAGTGATTCTGTCTGTTGCACTAGATCCCTAAAACACCTTTTCACCACAAACCACACTCTGTCCCAGTAATCCAGTAAGTAGAAGTTTATTAAAAGAAGAGTATATATAAAAATAAGAATATCTGAAAAAGAGAACCTAAGTTCAAAAGGTTATTTCCAAGATAGGCAAAAATCCAAGATCTGTTCAAATACAGTCTGCCGAGTCAACCCACAAATACAACCATAAACAAGATAGCAGGAATCCTTGGCAGGCAACCTATGCCACACATGAACTAGAAGTAAGAACAAAGTTAAAACTTGAACACATGAATTCCAAGAACATAGGACCAAAAACTGGGAGCTGTTCACCTGAATACAACATTGCTCTCACAAAGGATTGTACCAACAGGAACCACTTTAAAAGTCCTCAGTCTCTCCCATAACATCATTCCTCATGCACCTGCTTCTTCTCTCTTTATCTCTAAGGCACTGGGGAAAGCGAGTCTGTCTTTGTTACATACTCTGTCTCTGCAGTTCCATGCACCTTGACCTAGGTAAACATTCATCTCACACATTTCTCTCCACCTGAACTTCTAGCAGTTTCTCATGATAATTGATATCGCTTTCTTCAGTCTTGTGGGAACTGCCAGGAAATTCCAAAGCAACTCTCTCTAGGCCACTTCTATCCTCCTTTGGGACCTCCGAATCAGTCCCAGGATCCCCTTCCTTATCTTCTAAATACTCCGAATCTGACCAGGCCACAACACCGGCAATGAAAGCCTTTGACAATACATTTAGGTTTCCTGAGTCACTCAGCTTTTGCGCAACTCCCCACTGACTCTGCACCAATCCTGAATGAACCTAGATCCTGTAAGGATTATTTATATATGTTTGTGTGTTTTTCAATGTGTTTCTATGTGCTTCAAGATGGATTAAGATGTATTTCAAGATGGATTCTATTCTGCTCTATTGTGTATAAGAAAACTCAGTGCTGAGGCTGTGAAACTGTAACCTTGACAGAAATGAGATAACGTGTTCTCTGGCTGGGAAGAAGAGGGAGGATCTGGTCTCAGCCAGAAGTCAGCTAAGCAGATGTTCAGAGACTGTTGTTTGTGCATTGTAGTTCCTGTCTTTTGCTTGCTGTGAATAGACGTGTATAGATTTACTTAGTAAAAAGTAGTTTTCTGTTGTAACTGAAAGCTTGCAGAGTCCTGATTTAAGAAAACACAGTGTCTGCTGATCTAGCAATCCTTCCGCTGTCAAAGCTTCAATACTCTGACGGATCCCTAATATTTTGCGTATCTAACTCTCTCTGTATGTGTGCGCGCACACATATGCAAAGTGGAGGAGGGAATGAAAGCCTATCCCACAGAGTGGGGTCTGTTATCTCTCTCTCCCGCTCTCTTTTCTGCAGAGCCAGGCCATGCGCATCGTCCGAACTGTGGGGCAAGCATTTGAGGTCTGCCACAAACTGAGTCTGCAGCACACTGAGCAGAATGCGGATGGACAAGAGGATGACCAAAGTGAGAAATGTAGCGAAGACATGGAGGCACCAGGTATGTAGAAAAAAAAGAGACATAGTTGAAAGGAAATCGGAAGCTATATTTCTTTTATTGTACACAGAAAATTTCCAATAAGGAATTATAGACCCAAAAAGAAAGAAAAAGAAATGCTCCCACTCCTCTGACACAATGTTGAAAGCATGAGCAGAACCACTACTTCCTCCTCTCTGCACATACTGGCCACACTAAGACACTACTATCCTTCTGAATCCTCACATGAGAACTGCCTTGGTTTTCCCCACTGACAAGAGTTCTTAAATTCTCACAGTTCTTGCCCTAACTGAAGGTGAGCCTGTCAGCCCAGTGGACGAAACAGACATTGATTCTATGGACATTGGACTTCCTGGGAACAACCACTTGGAGTTCAACAGGGGAGTGACAGATCTTGACGCCGTCGGTCGAGAGGCCCCTGAGCTGCTTTTTTCCAAGGTATTTTCCAGCTCTAAGGAAGAATGAGCAGGAGACGTATGTGGCTTGCCAGTTCATTGAATTAAGTGTCTGGGCAAGAGGAGGTAATCAAATCAATTACTCATGCATGTGACAGAGGGGAAGCTCCAAGCGACTCAAGCCAAAGCCACACAATCTTGAGCCTGTCTTGTAGGAGGAACTTAACTTCAAGAGCTGATTATAATGATTAATGTGGTTTTCTGTATATTGAACTTCTGTCCATGTTTCTAGTGTTCCTGATGACCCTAGTGACGATCCATTTTGTTACCAGGGTCCATGATACTAGTCTCTGTGCTCCTTAATTCACTCTTTCCTCAATTATTGCAGTGAGACAGCAACCTCTTCACAACTTAGGATAACAAGGGAGGTCAGCTTGTTCTAGAGAAATCATATACAGACGGAGCAGTCCTCTGGATTCTGTCCCTCTCTGCAAAGTTGTGAGATTAAGGCTGCATGTTTTGTTTTGTTTTTGGTGGAATAAAAGAGTGAAAGGACAGGAATAGTTACCACTCTACTTCGCCCTGTCTACTGCAGTTATGCAGCTGGGAATGTGGCGCAGCTGGCTGGGAGTTAGCTGCATTAAGATCAGTACTAATCAGTTCGAAGCCAGCTCGCATCAGAGTGAGATACTAACCAATTTGTGTAGCTTGTTGTCGACCTTTGCATCCTGAAAGACAGTTGCATCTGGCAAGTAGGAAATTTAGGTACTGCTTATGTGGGGAGGCTAATTTAACTAATTTATGAGGCCATAAAAATCTCCAGCAAGCATGCAAAGAATGAGGAAGTACTTCATCAGTGTCACAAATGGACGTTGAAGTGAGGCCATAAAAATATCCAGCAAGCATGCAAAGAATGAGGAAGTACTTCATCAGTGTCACAAATGGACGGTAAAGTGACAGCTCCCCTGGTGGCCAGAATACCCTCATGAAAAGCTGGAATGTTAAATAGCCTCTGAGTGTCTGTCTATATATGTTGTGTGTCTATGGCATTGAATGTTTGCCATGTATATGTACATTGTAATCTGCCCTGAGTCCCCTGCAGGGTAAGAAGGGTGGGAAATAAACAAATAAATAAATAAATATAAACAATTGGTCCGGTTCCAAGACAGAACTATTAGCAACTGTTTACACAGCCATTCTGTGTTTTCTGGATTGGATGGCCCAGAGATATGGACTGGCAGTCTCTGCCCCTCCTTTCTCCCTCTTACGGCAGTCTCTTGATGCAACATGGATCCTGCCGTTGCTCATCATCACCTGCAGAGACCACCGCATTAAGGAGAATGGGAGGGGATGCTAAGGGCAGCTATCTTTCAGCACCAAACTAGGTTTGGTGCCACCGAACAGTTAGGACTCCCTCCTTTCTCTGCAGTGGCTGGAGTTATGGCTGTGTAAACCATCTCAGGTTTACATGCTGGATCACATACAGAATAACTAGTTAGTTTAGACTTGGGAAGTCTGACTTGGCCACGGTAGTCCACGCTCTGGTTACATCCTGTATAGACTACTGCAATGCGCTCTACATGGGGCTGCCTTTGAAGACTGTTCGGAAGCTTTAAATGGTCCAACGGCCGGCAGCCAGGTTACTAACAGGAGCAGCACTCAGGGAGCACACAACTCCTTTGTTGTGTCAACTCCACTGGCTGCCAGTTTTTTGTAAAATAAATAAATAAATAAATAATCATAGGATATAAGGACATGGGCAAGGGGATCTGTGTGACCTCCTTTCCAGGGCAAGGCTTGAGGTTGCTCGGCAAGGTCATTCCTTCCTGCTGTATGATTTCAGTTTCTCTTGTGAATATTGGATGCATGATGATCACCGTAGGTGTTCAGAAAAGTAGTGCCTACAGGATGCCATGGAGGAGGTTCTGCTGATTAACACCTTATGTCAGTGGTTCTCAACCTGTGGGTCTCCACATGTTTTGGCTTTCAACTCCCAGAAATCCTAACAACTGGTAATCTGGCTGGGATTTCTGGGAGTTATAGGCCAAAACACTTGGAGATTCACAGATTGAGAACCACTGCCTTATGGTGACCCAGCTACCAACGCCTATTCTGTTCTCCTAGACTAGTTCAAGTGTGTTTGTTCATGTGTAGGGGAAGAGGGTGGGAGAGAAAGAGAGGAAGGACCCTTTTGATCCTTACTTCTATTTGTATTTTCTAGAGTTTGCTTCACAAAGAGAATATCCTAACTGCTTCTCCCAAGATGCTGCTTCCATCTTCTGTCCAGTTGCCTGAGCCAGGAGTCCCTCTGTCTGCTCACCATCAGATGCAGTTTCTGCAGCAGCTCTTGCAGCAGCAACAACAACAAACTCAAGTTGCTGTAGCCCAGGTCACTATCCATCCTGCAAGGGAGGGGAATATAGAGAATTCTTAGCACTGATCACTTGAACATGAAAAGGAGACCTTCTGGGTGCCCTATTTTTATGGCTTTTGAGTGACAAGCAGCAAGGATTTTAAGAGGGAGTGACCTTGGAAGGTAGCCATGCATTTTGAGAGAAGGGGGTCATATTGGTGACAGCTCTAGAGACTCTGAAGACTTTTTATTCAGACACGGTTTAAAAACATAAATGTTTAAAATAACCGTGTACTCTTTTAACTGAGCTCAGTTTAGAGCTTTTAGTCTTTTTATTTGCTTACTAGCCATCCCCTGCCATGTGTTGCTGTGGCCCATTCTGGTGATCTGGAAAAAAAAGTAATGAGAAAGTAATGGTTTCTAATACATGTAATTTCTTTATGCTTGTGGGTAAACAGTATTTAATTATGTTTTCTTGCCCTGGTGAAGGGAGTTAGACTGGATGGCCTTGAACATTTTCTATTGGTCATTGGGGTTCTATGTGGGAAGTTTGCCCCAATTCTGTCATTGGTGGGGTTCAGAATGCTCTTTGATTGTAGGTGAACTATAAATCCCAGTAACTACAACTCCCAAATGTCAAGGTCTATTTCCCCCAAGCTCCATCTGTATTCCTAGTTGGGCATATGGAATATTCGTGCCAAGTTTGGTCCAGATCCATCATTGTTTGAGTCCACAGTGCTCTCTGGATGTAGGTGAACTACAACTCCCAAACTCAAGGTCAATGCCCACCAAACCCTTCCAGTATTTTCTGTTGGTCATGGGAGTCCTGTGTGCCAAGTTTGGTTCAATTCCATCATTGATGGAGTTCAGAATGCTCTTTGATTGTAGGTTAACTCTAAATCCCAGCAACTACAACTCCCAAATGACAAACTCCTTGGTTAGTAGGTGTCTTGTGTCCAAATTTGATGGCAGTTTGTCCAGTGGTTTTTGAGTTATGTTAATCCCACAAATGAACATTGCATTTTTATTTATAAAGATGTACCCATGGAAGGCTAGGAATTTTGTAATGATATTTATTGGAAACTAGCCGTCCCCTGCCACGCGTTGCTGTGGCCCACATGTGGGTTCAGTGTGGGAGGTTTTGGCCCAATTCTATCGTTGGTGGGGTTCAGAATGCTCTGTGGTTGTAGGTGAACTATAAATCCCAGCAACTACAACTCCCAAATGTCAAGATTCTATTTTCCCCAAACTCCACCAGTGTTCACATTTGGGCATATTGAGTATTCATGCCAAGTTTGGTCCAGATCCATCATTGTTTGAGTCCACAGTGCTCTCTGGATGTAGGTGAACTACAACTCCAAAACCAAAGGACACTGCCCACCAAACCCTTCCAGTATTTTCTGTTGGTCATGGGAGAACTGTGTGCCAATTTTGGTTCAATTCCATCGTTGGTGGGGTTCAGAATGCTCTTTGATTGTAGGTGAACTATAAATCCCAGCAACTACAACTCCCAAATGACAAAATCAATTTTTTTGAGTGAAGGACATACATTGGGTTGTTAGGTGTATCGTGTCCAAATTTGGTGCCAATTCATCCAGGGGTTTTTGAGTTCTGTTAATCCCACAAACGAACATTACATTTTTATTTATATAGATACTCCTTGTGCTGTTTTATAATTTCACGATTTGTCCCATTAGAAAATACATAACCGTATAATGGGACATTTTCTAAAATCATACAGGTGATGAGCTGAAACTGTGGTTTGTCAGCCCCTTTCGATCCTGTCAGTACTTTAAATTGGATCATGATAGGTGTCTGTACAAAGTTTGGTCCAGATCCATCATGGGTGGAATGCACACGGCTCTCTGGACTACAGCTTCCATCATTTAGACTGAATTAAGCGTGGGTACCTTGTTAAAATTTACCCTTGCTGTGGCTATAATGTACATATTATTTAGAAACACACAAATACAGCAAAATATTTTGTGCCCGTTATCTTCCCTCTTCCATCCTTTAAAAACTGGCATCTTGTCTGGAACAGTATTTCAACTGGCAGTAGCATGTACATCAGGGAATCGCTACTGCCAGAGAAAATTGGCACTGCATCCAAGGCTCTTTCTTATTTCTATCCCTCAGGTGCGTTTACTGAAGGATCAGCTGGCATCAGAGTCAGCCGCCCGCCTTGAGGCCCAAGCCAGAGTACATCAGCTTCTGCTGCAGAATAAGGACCTCCTTCAACATATCTCCATCTTGGTGAAGCAGGTGCAAGAACTGGAAGCAAACCTGTTGAAAACTAGTACCAGTAAGCATTTCCTTTCTTTCCAGTTTTTTTTTTATTCAGACCCTTCTGTTTCTCCCCAAGTTACAAATAAGAGAGGTTCTGTATGTTTGTTCTTAAATTGAATTTGTATGTAAGTTGAAACAGGTACATTTTAAGTGTCACTCCAGCCAAATGTATATAATAATAATAATAATAATAATAATAATAATCCTTTATTTATACCCCGCTACCATCTCCCGCAGGACTCGGTGCGGCTTACAAGAGGCCGAGCCCAAAATACATCAGAACAAAAAACACAACCACAACAATACAATACAACAATAAATAACTCATAGCAAAGCAAAAACAATACCAAAAACAATAACAAAATATTGTATATAGATGTGTGTGTGTATTTATTTATTTATTTACGACATTTATATGCTGCTCTTCTCACCCCGAAGGGGACTCAGAGCGCCTTACAAGATATATATATACATACAACATACTATATTATTAGCATAGTACAATGTCAGTATTATATATTACTATATTGTACTATACCATTATTTTGTAATATTATTGGTAATATTACATGTAATATAAAATATTTAATAATAATAATAATAATATATTATTATTATTAGCATTATATTGTATTACATTATAATATTATAAATATTACATGTATATATTACATTACATTACATTATTAGCATAGCACAGGAGACATGCCAGGTTACTAACAGGAGCGGCACCAACCCACTGGTTGCCAATTTGCTACTGGGCACAATTCAAAGTGCTGGATTTAGCCTTTAAAGCCCTAAACGGTTCCGGCCCAGCTTTCCTGTCTGAACATATCTCTCCCTATAAACCAGCTAGGAGCTTAAGATCATCTGGGGAGGCCCTGTTCTCAGTCCCGCCTCCTTCACAGATGCAATTGGCGGGAATGAGACAGTGCCTTCTCAGCGGTGGCCCCTCGGCTATGGAATAGAATCATAGAATCATAGAGTTGGAAGAGACCTCATGGGCCATCTAGTCCAACCCCCTGCCAAGAAGCAGGAAAATTGCATTCAAAGCATCCCCAACAGATGGCCATCCAGCCTCTGTTTAAAAACTTCCAAAGAAGGAGCCTCCACCACACTCCGAGGCAGAGAGTTCCACTGCTGAACAGCTCTCACAGTCAGGAAGTTCTTCCTAATGTTCAGATGGAATCTCCTTTCTTGTAGTTTGAACACCTTTCTTAGGGATATCAGATCGGCACCCTCCCTCCTAACATTTAAAAAAAGAGTTAAAACCTGGCTTTTTGAGCAAGTATTTGCAAATGCAGTGTAACAAACTAATCTAGATCTACGGAACGTTTTTACGATGCGACGGGAAAATGATTTTAGTAATGAGACGCTGAGGACTTGTGTTTTATGGCTTTTATTGTTTCTACTGCTTTTATATGGTCTGTATTATATGTTAATGTTTTTAATTATATTTTATGTTGTTGGTGGCATTGATTGCCGATTGTAAACCGCCCGAGTCGCCTTCAGACTGAGAGGAGGTATATAAATATGATTAAATAAATAAATAAATAAATAAAATCTGCCCTGCTAGTGTGCATAGATACGGAAATGAAACTGCTGGAAGACTGGTGGGAAACTGCTGGGGAATTTTTCTCCTTGCATGTCATAGTTATGAAAAAAGTTATTCTTTCTGGTAATGAGTCACCTGTGTTCCAGACCTGAGCCTCTGGCTGTTTATTTGCATTTGAATTATATCTGAGTAAGCAAGGAATTTGGCAGCTCACTCTTGAGAATTTAAGCTTCTGTTCTCTGGCTCTTTTAGCTGCAAAAAATAATGTTGTGTCACTGGTACCTGATGAGATCTCAGATATCGGATGGGTTGTAGGACATGGGAGGGGGCGGCTGCAAAAGAGGATCTGTAGAGTTATATAACTGTGGCCATACGCTTCGCCATTCCCTTGTGGCTGTCAGAGGCAGTGACAAATCACAGTTTCCCAAATTACACTTTTACTGTTGGATTTTAGTTCTCCTTGTGCATCATTTGTGTCCTTCAATCATTTGGGCATTTTTAATGCTGAATTGCGCTGAGATCATAAGAATCGAATTAACAAATGCCTGCTGAATATATGAAAGAAATGTCTGATCCAGATCCTCTGCAAATGATGGAAGCAAGAAAAAATATTAATCGGGAAAGTAACCAAAGCGAGGAACAGCACACAAGTAATAATATAATATATTGTATGCACATATAATATTTATAATCTTATAATGTAATACAATATAATACTACTACAAATAAATAAATAAATAAATCTTTATTTATATACTGTTCTATCTCCCCGAGGGGGACTCAGGGCCGTTTCCAAATAGCATCACTGAAAAATACAAAGTAAACAGCATAACATAAAATTAACAAAACAATAAGCATAAAATTATCACAATAATACATGTATATTAAAAAATAATCCTGCCTATTCAGAGGAATTAAAAAGCTGGGCCAAGGCTAGTGCAAACTCAAAATATGAGGGGGCCGGGAATTAAGTACAGTGCTATAACAGGCTAATGGCAAAAGCAGCTATGGGTCTGTGGCTGCTCATTTCCAGGACCTATTAGAGCAGGGGTCCTCAAACTATGACCTGGGGGCTGAATACGGCCCTCCAAGGTCATTTACCCGGCCCTCACTCAGGGTCAACCTAAGTCTGAAATGACTTGAAAGCATACAACAACAACAACAATCTCAACAGTCAAAAGCAGGCCCACACTTCCCACTGAAATACTAATAAGTTTATATTTGTTAAAATTGTTTTTCATTTTAATTATTGTATTGTTTTTAATTGTTTTTTGCACAACAAATAAGATATTGCAGTGTGCATAGGAATTCATTCAATTTTTTCCCAAATTATGATTTGGCCCTCCAACAGTTTGAGGGACTGTGACCTGGCCCTTTGTTTAAAAAGTTTGAGGGCCCCTGTATTAGAGGGATGATCGGAGTAATAGGTGAAAGTGCAAGGCCATATTCAACAATGTTTGGGCTGGATTAGAACTGGTCATTCTCAAAGGCTTGTTGAAACCACCAGGTCTTCAAGCTCTTATGAAAGGAAGGAAGGGATGGGGCCTGTCTTATTTTCCTTGGAAGGGCATTCCAGAGGCGGGGGGCCACCACCGAGAAGGCCCTCTCTCTCATCCCCACCAACCATACTTGTGACGGTGGTGGGAGCGAAAGGAGGGTCTCCCCAGAAGATCTTAGGGTTCTTACTTGTTCATAGAAGGAGATGCAATCGCGGAGATAGGCGGGGCCTGAACCATTTAGGGCAGGGGTCCTCAAATTTTTTAAACAGAGGGCCAGGTCACAGTCCCTCAAACTGTTGGAGGGCCGAATTATAATTGGAAAAACATGAATGAATTCCTATGCACACCGCACATAGCTTAGTTGTAGTGCAAAAAAACAAAGAAACAAACAAACTTAAAAACAATAAAATAATGAAAATGAAGAACAATTTTAACAAATATAAACTTATTAGTATTTTAATGGGAAGTGTGGGCTTGCTTTTGGCTGATGAGATAGGATTGTTGTTGTTGTTGTGTGCTTTCAAGTCGTATCAGACTTAGGATGACCCTGAGCGAGGGCCGGGTAAATGACCTTGGAGGGCCGTATGCGGCCCCCGAGCCTTAGTTTGAGGACCCCTGGCTTAGGGTTTTATAGGTCATTATAATTATATATTTTATATTACATGTAATATTACTAATAAAATTACAATATAATGGTATAGTACAATATAGTAATATGTAATACTGATATTGTACTATGCTAATAATATAATATATTGTATGTATGTATATATGTATATGTGTGTGTGTGTGTGTGTATGTGTGTATCTATCTATCTATATATCTTGTAAGCTGCTCTGAGTCTCCTTCGGCGTGAGAAGGGCGGCATATAAATGTCACAAATAAATAAATAAATAAATAAAGTTGTGGCTGACACCCCTCTTGCAAGGGCAGGAAAGATCCAGCATAATCAGAGTAAGCCTTTTTATTCTGAAAGCTATTAAGAAAAGAGCAGATTTCCTGAAAAAAGAACCAGGAAAATAAGATTCTGACTATAAATAGAAGGTCAGCTGCTGTCCTCACCCTTTTGCCTTGTTTTTTACTCGTGTTCTATTTTGGTCATATGACTAATCAAATAAATAAATATTATCATTATTATTTTCTATTTTGTAAGCTGCTCTGAGTCCCCTTCGGGGTGAGAAGGGCGGCATATAAATGGCACAAATAAATAAATAAATAAATTTGTGGCTGAATTGGGAAACCGCAGGTTTGATGTTGGGGGTTGTCATTTCAGTGGGTGAGCTGCCTTCTTTCATGCTAGAGGCAGAAGAGGTGACTGACTCAATGTTTCACTTTTTCTCCCTGTTTTTAAGTAGGTTCTCAAAAGAGTTTGGTGGAAATCAGCTATCGTCCAGTCACCCTGCCTGTTCTGTGCGACCCAACCACCCCAGCGCCTGAGGACACCTACCTGCTCCAGTTTGACCCCAGTTTTTCCACCATTACCAGCTCTCTGGGCAGCCCCTTAGGTAGGAGCGACTGTTTGGCAAAGCTGGAATGCTTCCATTTCCACTCCGACGCTGTGCCTCCCTTGGGCAGCTTGGAGCTTATCAGGTTCCACGATTCTGGGCTCCCCTCTCAGCATGAGTCCAGCACGGATGAGAGCGAGGAGTGGGACTCCTGGGTCCAGGAGGAATCCCTTCGCCTGCTCTGCGTTCTGAACAAACAGGGCCTGGGAGATAACCTGGATGAAGACATTCCAGTGTAAAATGAAGTAGAACTGTTCTAGGTTTGTGGAAAGTAATGGGGGAGAAAAGCTGCGGTTCAGGAATCCTTGCACATATGCCTAAATATTCCCATATTTTGCTGTTGCTTTCTATGTCTGAGCACAGATTCTTAATTGGAGAAGAAATACGCTGCCCCATGTTCTATTGAGGAACAATGTTTCTTCAACAACAGAACTCCCCAACTTTGAATCCTGAGGATGGGATTACTATTCGCAGGCATTTCTCTAGGCATCCAAAGGATTCCAGTGTTACACCACCAGGATTAGCATTGTCTGCCACCGTTAGTACCTGGAGAATCTCAACTTGTTTGGTCAAACCCTTAAGTGATAAAAAATAGCCTTAGAAAGCTGGGCAGTTCTAGATGAGATGTCAAAATCCAGAGTGAGCAGGGATGCCAAAGAACAGGAGGTGGAAGAGACCACACGGGCCATCCAGTCTAATCCCCTGCCAGGCAGGAAAAGCACAATTGAAGCATCCAAGACAGATGGCCAGCCTCTCTTTAAAAACCTCCAGCAAAGGAGACCCCACCACACTCCGAGGTAGAGAGTTCCACTGCTGAACAGCTCTTACAGTCAGGAAGTTTTTCCTAAAGTTTAGGTGCAATCACTTTTTCTGCAATTTAAATCTATTACTCCTTGTCTCCAAGGAATAATATACTGATTAGTTTGGAATTCTCATTATTATTCTAATTGCTATTTTTTGTTGTAGTTTAGGACACAGGACATCTGTATATTTTCTCTGCAATCATAGATATCTATGTAGTTAGTATATTCGTCTCCAGAGCAGCAGAAAACAACCTTGCCCTTTCCTCCATGTGATATTTTTTCAAATCTTTAAACATAGCTATCATGCCTTCTTTTCTTCAAGTTAAACATAGCCAGCGCCCTTACTCCTCATAGGATATGGTTTCCAAAGCTTTGATTATTTTGGTCAGCCTTCTTTAGATACATTTTAGCTTGTCAATAGGGCCCCTGGTGGCACAGCGGGTTAAACCGCTGAGCTGCTGAACTTGCAGACCGAAAGGTTGGTAGTTCGAATCCAGGGAGCGGGATGAGCTCCCACTGTTAGCCCCAGCTTTTGCCAACCTAGTAGTTCAATAATAATAATAATAATAATAATAATAATAATAATAATGCTTTATTTATATACCACTCTATCTCCCCGAGGAGACTCAGAGCGGTTTCCAGGTAACATCATCAATACATACAAAGTAAAGGACATAACCATAGGATTAACAAAACAATATAAGCATAAACATTGTCGCCATAACACATATATATTAAAAGAAATTCTACTTGTTCAAGGCAATTTAAAAGGCCAGACCGAGATTAGTGCAAGCTCAAAAATTCTAGAGGGCCTGGGAATTAAGTGCAGTGCAAGTGTGAGTAGATCAATAGGTACCGGTTCTGCAGGGAGGTAACAGTGCTCCATGCAGTCATGCTGGCCACATGACCTTGGAGGTGTCTACGGACAATACCAGCTCTTCGACTTAGAAATGGAGATGAGCACCCCTCCCCCGCCCCAAGGCGGATACGACTGGACTTAATGTCAGGGGAAACCTTTACTTTGACTAGCTTGTCAATATCCTTTAATCATGATGCCCAGAACTTGACACAGTATTCCCATGAGGTCTGACCAACGCGGAATAGAGCGAGGCTATTATTTCTATTGAACTAAGTCCTGAACTAAGTCTTCCATTCGTGCCTCTTCTAATTCTACAGCACTGCTGGTCACAGCTGACTTCCAGCTGGAGCGCTCAAAGGCCAGGGCTTCCCAGTTCTTAGTGACTATGCCAGAACACCAGAACAAATTGGCAGCAGATCTAGGAGATGCAGTGCAATTTCATCTAATTTGCATAATATATGTAATTGGCAGAACTCAGATGTGTTTGTACAGAATGTACAAATGAATGAGATTGTGAATATTGTGGGGGTACATTCCTTTTTTTATAGAAAACTTTCCAAGGACTGCCGCTGTTTCGTGTCCAGACAGCATTAGGTGTGTGCAAACTGAAGGAAATGTTTTAGTTATAGATGAAGAAATGGTTCAATATGAGTTGTTTTTTTCCTGAAAATGTGAACCTGGGCACTTCTCAAATCACTGCCACCTCAATTCCAGAAGAGTACTTGTGATAGTTCTCCTTTATGCCACCTTCGGTACTAACTTACACGTCTGTTTTGTGCGTTGTTTTACATTCCCTGCACTTGTACAATAATACATGTTTTTCCATGACTTGTATGATTTATGCTCTTCTGTGATCACATGTGATGCTGATAGCACAGTAAAAACTAGTGTTATGTATAGGTACGTCACTCCGCTTTTGCTCTGGGTCTCTAGTAAAAAGGGGTTACTTTCCTTGACCTTTTCCTCTTCCACGCTTTCCCCCCTCCCTTGCAGCTACATTCTCATTGTTTTTCTTCATTTATCAGCAATGCAATTATATTGCAAATATTATTACAACCTAACAAATAAAAAGATCCTCTCCTATTTTTAAGCAATCCTAAGTATATTCCTTCTTACTTACTTAGGCAATCCCTCATTGTCTGAGTAAGATAGTCTTCCAAGATCAGTGTACTGGTGGGTCCGTAGGTGACTGTGGAACCCTATTCTTGACCTGTATGATTTCCTGCAGTGAGGGCATTGGTTTCCAGATGGAAGCCGGTCCCATCAGGGTTGGCTTGATGCGCCTTCCTCTTGGCATGTTTCTCTCTTTCGTCTTCCATTCGTGCCTTTCCAAATTCTATAGCACTGCTGGTCACAGCTGACCTCCAGCTGGAGCGCTCAAGGGCCAGGGCTTCCCAGTTCTCAATGTCTATGCCAGACACATGTATCGTTTCATAAGAAAACCCCTGTGCTGGCAGGACTGAAGACCGACAGGTTGCAGGTTCGAATCCAGGGAGAGATGGATGAGCTCCCTCTATCAGCTCCAGCTCCTCATGCGGGGACATGAGAGAAGCCTCCCACAAGGATGATAAAAACATCAAATCATCCAGGCGTCCCCTTGGCAACGTCCTTGCAGACGGCCAATTCTCTCACACCAGAAGCGACTTGCAGTTTCTCAAGTCGCTCCTGACACGACCCAATAAGAAAACTAAGACACTAATTGAACAACCCCATTTATTAACATCTACCCAAAGTTTGAATCCAGAGAGCGGGTTGAGCCTCCCGCTGTTACCCCCAGCTTCTGCCAACCTAGCAGTTCGAAAACATGCAAATGTGAGTAGATAATTAGGAACTGCTCCAGTGGGAAGGTAACGGTGCTCCATGCAGTCATGCTGGCCACATGAACGTGGAGGCGTCTATGGACAATGCCACCTCTTCAGCTTGGAAATTGAGATGAGCACCACCGCCCAGAGTCAGACACGACTAGAATTAATGTCAAGGGGAAACCTTTACCTTTTCATCCAAAGACAAGAGATTGGCATTTTCAAAAACTGAAATTTTAATGGTTAACGGACTAGTAATCATAAAGTTACCAATACAGACTCTGGAAACAAAGGTGCTTTACAGAGTCATAATACACTTTGAATTTCGTAAAAACTGTAAGGGATCGCAGGTTTAGGGTGCGGGGTCCCTTTTTGAAGAAATCCACAGAGTCCAATAGGTTCAGGTAAGACACTGTTTATTCAAGCTGATCAGCATGAGGGGGACAGACAGCACTTTTGTAAGTGTTCCCACAGACTGCCATGCTCTCTGTTTTCGCAAACTGTTATATACCCTCAGGTAAACATTTTTGTCATGGAAAGTACTTTGACCTTTACTCTTCCTGTCCCATCAACCTCTTGATGGAAAGTACCTTCTTTCACCTGCAGACTTTGCGCTTAACCACAAACCAACTTCCTATGTAAGCTTGAACTTTGTATGACCTCTAAATGTCACCTCTTGTTTTTAGAAACATTTTCCTCCGTGCTGCTCCTTTTCTACAGAGAAGGGGTACATTTCTCCTTTGTTGATAATTTCATTCAAAGCCCCTTGCTTAGCTATTGTTAATTTCACTCAAAGACCCTTTCATTACCACATAATAAAACATGTATGAAAAGTTGGAGACCATGACACAAGTCAAGACAACAACAGCAAGCTCCTAAAAGTGTAGTGGAAACCCAGTTGTGTGAATTCATAGAAGTTCACTTGAAAAATTATAGTCACAGTTAAGCAACCTGTCCTTATAGAATGTGGTAGGAACACAGAAAAATAGACTCTGCAACACGGGGAGGCCTTTCATGTTAGTCGTGGGCAGCTGTGTTATTCTGTTCTCATTTTTTGGTGTTTGTGTGATGTTCAAACAATTGTGTGACTGAAAATTTAGATTGTTCGGAGAAGGAACAATTGGAACAACAACTTTCAAATAATATCCATATAGATTAGATGTTTAACCAATGATCTCCCATGTTCCCTGGATAAAAGAAAGTGGGCATTTTTAGCATTACTGATAGTAAGGTGGGAGTAACTCTTCTGCGATAGACACTTTCCTACGCATAAGGGTTGTATTTAAGAGGGCAGCCTAAGGAAGGGAAGATCTTTCTTTTGAGTCAGTCCAATTCTCCAGCCCTACTTTCTTTTCTACTTTCAAACCGTATAATCTCTTTAGATAAATTCACAGGTTAGCAGGCAAAATATAAGCTTTCTGGCGCAGTGGGTTAAAGCACTGAACTGTTGAGCTTGTTGATCGAAAGGTCGCAGGTTCGATTCCGGGGAGCGGCGTGAGCTTCCGCTGTCAGCCCTAGCTTCTGCCAACCTAGCAG